GCTGTGGTGGCCAGCAGGGAGGTGCTATTGGCCTGGTTCAGAGGAAGCCAAGGTTCTTGCTCAGAAGGCCAGGCTCATCGATAGGAAGTTTGTATGTGGGAATGGGGGAAGGGGGGTGCGTGACATCCCATTGCACACCCAGCTGGGCCCAGGGCTGGCAGGGACTCCTGTTCGCATGCCTCTGAGGCTGTGTTGTTCTATGCTGTGGTCCTGGCTCTGGGTTCCGGGCTTGGGACCCAAGAAGATGTGGAGGGTATTGTTCTAGCACACAGTTTTCTGCCCTCTGTAAAGTGTGGTCCTAAACTCACAGCCAAGGTAGTGACCTTTTAACTTGTGGCACTAGGACAGTTTGAGGCCTCCTCCCCAGTGAGCACGTTACTTGTAGCTTGTGATCTAGAGTAGCAGTCCCCAACCTTTTTTGGCACCAGGGATCAGTGCTCCTATGAGAACCTAATGCCTGATGATCTGAGGTGCAGCTTAGGCAGAGACGCTAGTGCTGGGGAGCGGATACAACCTAATGCCTGATGATCTGAGGTGGAGCTTAGGCAGAGACGCTAGTGCTGGGGAGCGGATGCAAACACAGATGACGCTTTGCTTGCTTGCTGCCGCTCACCTCCTGCTGTGAGGCCTGGTTCCTAACAGGCCACGGACTGGTACTGGTCTGCACTGTGGGTGTGGGGCCCCTATGGACTCTGGAGGGTGGTCTGGGCACCCCATGTAGGCACTGTCAAGGGGACTGTTAGCAGATTTGCATTCACAGGGTGAAACAAGCCAAGTGGGGAGACAGAGTCTGGACTGATTCTGCTCAATTAGAAGGGGGTTTCTTTGCATGTCCCTCAGTTCTGCACTCTGCTGACACAGAGGGCTGTGGTCTCCTTAGGCGTATGTGAGTGAGTGTGTGTGTACGTGAGCATGAGTGGGTGTGGGTGTGCATGAGCATGTGTGTGGGTATGGGAGGGGTGTGTGTGTGCGTGTGCGTGGGCATGGGTGGGTGTGGATGCAGGGCTGTGGGGTCGCTTTGGTGGGAGAAGAGTGAGGAGGAAAGTTCCTTCTGTGGAGAGTTTCTGATACATTCCCCTTTAGAGTTGACAAAGCAGCCCGGCTGGGTTGGTTTTTAGAGGTCAGGGAAAGGCCAGTCTATTTACACACCTTTGCTGAGGAGCATGGAGGGGCAGTGATGGGGGCCGGGATTAACGAGCAGTTTTATTGCCTCGCCTGTCAGGAGGGTCATGTGATATTATTTTGATATGGGGGCCCCCAAAAGCAAACACAACAGGCCATGTTATAAATAGAAGAAAAAGGAGCCTCACCCCTTGCCATTGAGCGTTTCCCTTTCTTCTCAGCCAGGGGTGGGCCCAGGACCCTGCTCCCACCGCCAGTGCCTGCAGGCTGATCGCTCTAAGGCGGCACCAAGGCCAGCTCCCGAGATAACGTTGGTGGGTGGCGCCTGCCATGAAAATTAAACATCTTAGTTGCTAATGAATGAATTGGCCACACCGAACCCCAGCCACTGCTGCCTCTAATGAGAGGGAGAGCAGGGCCCCTCAGGGTGACTGACATGCAGCCCAACTGACAAATCAGGAAACTAGAGGACTGCCTGCCCCCAGCACTGACTGGCCAAGTCGGGTCTCCCACCCTCTGAGAGAGGCCTGTGTGAGCACAGAGCAGCCGTGGGACCCCTCGCGTCGAGTGGGGCGGGGTGGGACTGGGTGAGAGGGAAATTGCTGCCCATCTCTTGTTTCCTTTCTTTCTTTTTTTTTTTTTTTTTTGCCTTCTTTTCTGTCAGGGCTAACTGTGGCTGTGACCAAACACAGCCACTTGACCCTGAACAGGAGGGAGGAGTTCTGCCAGATAAATCCACGGATGGATAGTTCCACACTCATGCTGGAGACGGGGCTGGGGAGCAGAGGCCAGGGTGAAGGGGCTGGCCTGGCTGTGAGTGGGGTGACACCCGGATTCTCTGACAGGGACAGGGGGCCGAGATGCCCGGGTGCCATCTTGCCACCTATCACCTATCACCTTGCTCTCTTGGCCTAGAAGAGTCTAACCTTTCCTACGAAGTCCATCTCTCAGTTATCTGCTCCAAGAAGCCCTCCCC